TTACAACAGAAGAAGAAAACAGAGCCTCTTTGGCTAAGCGATCAGCGACCGCATTCGAGAGCCGAGCCTGTTTGGTGTGTGTTTTTATCCTGAAATGTTAATGTGATGTGACCAGAAATTCATTAAGGTAGTTTTCAAAGAGAAACAAAAAAAATAAGGATTGGTAGTGGTTTTTCTTTCCAACACTGCACAGATTTGATCAGTTACAGAAAATCATATCTCAACTCTCTTTTATACGCAGCCGTGAAAACATCTATCAAATAAACTTACGGAAAAGAAAATAGTATGTAAGTTATGACTCCGGTTAATATGATATAGTCAGTAACAGCCGACAGTATATATGAATTTGTAATCAGTAACATACTGACAGTAGATATGAAGTTTGTGGTGAACAATTATTGGACCCACTAAAGATTTTGTAATCCAGTTCTTGGGTGATAGGTTTGTTCTTACAAAGTTGCCACATATGATCCCATTAGACTTTGTACTAATATCTCATAATTTTCACCATTTACCTTCCCTCAGGCCCCCTGTCCAACTTTAATGATCATACTAAATAAAATGTTTGATTAGCTATATCAGGAAAAATAAAAACATCAAATTTCATGAACGGATCTCAACACTATGAACTAACAAACGACTTTAATAAAATTTGTGTTTGCGTGTTTTATAATAGTATTCCTTTATTAAAGTTTCAGAGAGTGAGTTTATTCGATGTATTTTTAAAGAAGAAAGGATTATGCAAAATGACATTAGCTAGTTAGCGTAAGAATACAACCAACACGTCTACAGTAAAGCTAGTTAGGGTTTTCCTTATCCTATTAATCCCATTGATTATAAGGTCTTGCGTTTTTAGGACCACTTGGTTATGCAAGAAAGAAAATTAAAAAGCCAACAAAACTTTATCTTTATTATGGACCAACCATGCAATTCATGATTCTGTGCCCAAGAAAATAAAAGAGGATACTAATTTTCGTGTTCCGTCTTTATCATCTCTGCAACATAAAAATTTAAACTAAACATTTTCTGATAAATTAAAATACATCAGTTGGTCAACTTGTTAGCTGTAATAGCATTAATTGATTGCTTATCAGCAAGGTTTGATTTATATTTTTCTCCGAAAGAATAGATTATGCAATTTGTTATTATCCAATAAAAGATTATTGATAACATATTAACTTTGGAGTCTTTGCTAAAACTGTTGAATAAGTAGACGAAATTTCGAGTCTGACTATTCGAAAGATGATTCTCCCAAGAGCATTTAACTTAACGTGGCAAGCTTCTAAACTATGCTAGTGATACCATTGGATGACATGTGGAGTATTCAAGTACGTGTCAGCCTTAATGCTTTGCGTGTTAACTATGATTACGTAGTTTGTTGAAAAGCATTTAAAAATAAGAAAGCCATATTTAACCATATTTATTGTCATTAATAAATCATCATTTCAAGCCCAAAAACAACTTTGGTCGTGTCTGGTGGATTAGTGACAAGAAGCGCACAGAAGATTAAAGCCTACCAAGTACCAACACGGTTTCTGAAGGTTATCGTAAATATGGCTGATCTCTTAAGGGTAGATTAGTCAAGAAATAAGAACCCTCGTGGAAATCAAGGTACGGTTTCGGAAAGTTGCTTCGTATGACCGGAACAAGTGTCGTTTAGCTGTAATAATAGGACGTGAATATTGTGTCGTAAATGTGATTGATGTTAAAAGATGAATGCCCTAATCAGCTACGTTAATCACAGTAAATAACTAAGTCGATACACGTTGATTTTGGATATCTATTTAAATATCTATCTACCTACGAACATCGAACTGAGATGTAGAATATGATATACAGGAGATATATGAAATTATTCCAATCGATTGTAAGTTGAAAACAATGTTTAGCTAACTAATTCACATGTACATGGAAACACACACACACACTATAACTCACGAAATGCATAACACACACAAAAGATGCATATATATCAGATCTCTCAATCTTCCTTTTCTTTTGACGTCAAAAGATATTCCAAATATGTAAATAATAATTTATAAGTTTTTCCTTATATTTGAGTTGAATGACAAATCAAAAGCAGCATAGATTAATTATCAGATTTTTTTGTTCGTCCACCTTTTAATCTCTGATATTATTTTATGTAAATATTATTAGAAAACAGTTTTCCTATTTACTGTTTTGTGTACTATAAATTTCAATACGTAGCCACAATAAAGAATACGCTGTCCCTAAGACCCCAACAATGACATACATCTCATTCTCCTGCAAGGCTGCAAAGTGTCTATAATAAACGTATTTTATGCAACCGTATTCACAGATATATGTTTAGTATTATTTTTTAGAGCAATGAGGAAGAGAAGTGTATATAATCGGACGTAGTGTATGGTTTACTGCCACATGCACCATTTTATCAAAAAAACTGATGGTCGGTGTGCAAGCTAGCTCGCCGTCGTGAAATCGGAAGAAGGACAAGGCTGAATCTGGGAACAACCCGTTAAAATTAGGTCTGAACAAAAAACCGAATAATTAATTTGAATTTGATTCGAAAAATAGTATCAAATCCGAACCAAAATTAATTATATATCTGAACGCATTTAAAGTTTTGGTGTTTAGAAAACAATAACCAAATCTGACCAGAATTAAAATATAAGGATATTGGAACATATCCAAATTAGATGTATATAATATTAATTTTTAAAATTTAATATAAAAATGTCACAGTATATATAATATTTATAATTTTGTCTAAAATACTTAAAATAGATAAAAATAGTTAAAAATAAATGATTAGAATAACTAAATAATACTCAAAAACACTAAAAATACTTAAAATATTTATTAATTTCTATCCAAATATTCAAGTAAAAGCAATTTTAATTAATGTTAAATTTTGGTATGAAATATTCATATCTATGTATTGTATATTATTTTACTTTTAGATTTTTAAAAGTTAAAATACAGTGTAAATGAATTTTAATATTTTAAAATTTAAAATAATTCAAATGGGTTATTCGAATCCGAAAAGAACCCACAAAAATTTAAACCGAACTCAAGTAAAAAAGATACGACTTTAAAAAGATATCTTAGACATAAACCTTTAAAAAAATGATACACTTATATAGCTAATAATCATTGTATGTATTATTTTCTCAGTTTCATAATAAAAGATATTTTGATTAAGACACGTAAATTAAGAAAAAAAATTTAATACTATTATTAATAATAATATAAATTTAAAATAAATCAATAAAATATTTTTATTAATAATATAGATTTAAAATATATCAACTAATCATAAATGATGTAATTTAATATTATTGGTTAATCAATCTTTAATAGAGTTAAAATTATTTTTAAAACAACAAAATGTCTTATATTTTAAAATACTCTTTTTAATATATTTTCCTTTATGAAACATGGAGTATCATTTTAGTAACTTTCCAAAAGAGGTCGGTAATTACATTGTGAAGATCAAAAATCATTTTTGTGCAATTGTGACAATCAAATATCCACGAAATGTAAGAAACAGGTTTTTATCCTTCTCAAAGAAAAAACAGATTTTTACAGAAGGAAACAATATTAAGAATCTCTATTATTAAAAGAAAAGTACCCACTAAAAATACCCCTAAGTTTTCCAACTTATTTACACTCATATGCCACTAAGAATTTAATTAAACTTCCTATTTAAATGCTTGTCTTTTTCAGTTATATTAATTAAACATCCTATTTAAATGCTTGTCTTTTTCAGTTATATTAATGAGTTATTTAATCAACCAAAAAATACCTGCATCACTAACATGTCTTTTTCACGTAT